ATAATTATTCCCTGCACTTACTTGCATGTCTCTTTAATGTGTTTTGATGGGCCTTATTTTCATGTCATTGCTCTATTCTAAAACTTGTCATGTCACAAATTATTTGTTTTATAGTCTTGTTCCCCATTTAAGTTTGTCCAGTTGTTTGCTGGATTTGGATTTCGATGCTTTTCTTGGGCAGGTGCAGAGGTCACAGCAACACTGCGTGGCTTCCTTCCACTGCTAGCTTGGAGTCAGCCACTTATTACTGCGCTGTACTAGTTAGAGCTATTTCTCCAGGACCTTGGGTCTTCTGGAAGGATGATAAATAGGACGTTATACCTGTGTGCCAATGATTTCTTTAGTGCCTTCAGAGTGTGTCATGGCTTGTGCATTTTTTGCTAGAACTTGTAAAGTTGCTACCTATTGGTGGTTTCTTTCTGGAAGACTAATACACTGATTCATTTTATTTATTGACTTATTTAGACTTTCAGGTTTGAAAAACAATTAGCTACTCTCTGTAAGAATAATTTGTTACAGTAAATTTAGCATCAAAGGTTGCTTATGATACTTAATCCCAGTCACGTTGTACATTTGTTTAAATTTTTCCTGTGGTTTTTTAAAAAAAATCATTTTTAATTGTCTTAAAATTTTTTTATATTAATTACAGTGTATTCACTTTGTATCCCATCTGTAGCCACCTCCCTCATTCCTTCCCAATCCTACCTTCCCTCCTTCCCTTATCTCCTCCTATGCCCTTTTCCAAGTCCATTGATAGGGGAGGTCCTCCTCCCCTTCCGTGTGACCCTAGCCTATCAGGTCTCATTAGGACTGGCTGCATTGTCCTCCTCTGTGGCCTGGCAAGGCTGCTCCTCCCTCAGGGGGAGGTGGTCAAAGAGCCAGCCCCTGAGTTCATGTCAGAGACAGTCCCTGTTCCCCTTACTAGTGTACCCACTTGGATACTGAGCTGCCATGGGCTACATCTGACCAGAGGTTCTAGATTATCTCCATGAATGATCCTTGGTTGGAGTCTCAGAAATGACCCCTGGGCCCAGATTTTTTGGTTCTCTTGTTCTCCTTGTGTTGCTCCTGTCCCCTCCAGGCCTTTCTATTTTCCCCTTCTTTCATAAGATTCTCTGCACTCTGCCCAAAGTTTGGTTATGAGTCTCAGCATCTGCTTTGATACCCTGCTGGGTAGAGTCTTTCAGAGGCCCTCTGTGGTAGGCTCCTGTCCTGTTTCCTGTTTTCTCCTTCTTCCAATGTCCATCCTGTTTGTCTTTCTGAGTGAGGAGGGCTATTATCCAAAATATACAAAGAACTAAAATTAAAAAGCAACAAATCAAGTAATCCAATTAAAAAAATGGGGTACAGAGCTAAACAGAGAATTCTCAATAGAGGAATATTGAATGGCAGAGAAACACTTAAAGAAATGTTCAATGTCCTTAGTCATCAGGGAGATGTAAATCAAAGCGACCCTGAGGTTTCACCTTACACCCATCAGAATGGCTAAGATCAAAAACTCAAGTGACAACACATGCTGGAGAGAATGTGGAGAAAAGGGAACCCTCCTCCATTGCTGGGGATTTTAAACTTGTACAGCCACTTTGGAAATCAGTCTGGCACTTTCTCAGACAATTAGCAATAGCGCTTCCTCAAGATCCAGCTATACCACTCGTAGGCATATATCCAAAATATGCTCAAGTACACAATGAGGGCATTTTTTTCAACCATGTTCGTAGTAGCTTTATTCATAATAGCCAGAACCTGGAAACAACCCATATGTCCCTCAACAGAGGAATGGATACAGAAATTGTGATACATTTACACAGTGGAATACTACTCAGGAATTAAAAACAAGGAAATCATGAAATTTGCAGGAAATGGTGGGATCTAGAAATGATCACCTTGAGTGAGGTATCCAAGAAGCAGAAAGACACACACGGTATATACTCACTTATAAGCGGATACTAGACATATAATATAGGATAAACCAGAAAAATCTGTGCATCTGAAGAAGCTAAGCAAGAAGGAGGACCCTGGGAAAATAGTCTTTTTAAGCCTTTTAAAAATTTCATTATTTTGTGAATGCCTTTGTGGATGTCTGTGTGTGGGTATGTGCATGAGAGTGCTGGTGCCCTTCGAGGCCAGAGGCCTTAGACACTCCTGGAGCTGGAGTCCCAGGCAGCTGTAAGCTTCCCAGCTTGAGTATGGGAACCAGGTTTGTGTTCTGTGGAAGAGCAATATGTCTTCTTAACCACTGAGCAGCCTTTCTAGCCCCCCAGCCTTTCTATTGTGTGCTTTTTTTCAAGTTAAGCAATTTGATTCATTTTGCTTTCTCTTTGTCTTGAATTGTATTGGTGGGGCTGGACACAGACAGGGTCTGACTGTGTTATATAGGCAGGGTCTGTGCTCCTGAGTTTAGTTCTAGTGCTTTTTTTTTTTTTAAATAGACTTTTTCAGACTTGTTTTTTACTTATTTTTGTAAATGCCGGGTTAGTCTATATTCCCCAAAATTTTACATATAGTGTTTTACGTGTAGTTTCTTATTACTTATTTCTTCCCTTTTATTTCAGAGCTTATTGGCATTTTTTGCTTATTTTTTATTGATAGGCAGTTAATTGCAAGATATAACAATTTGGTTTCTGTGTTTTCAATACTTTGTGTTTTATTTTCAGTGGTTTTATGGATTGATATTGTCAAAATCTGTGGAATTGAATGTGTTTGAAGATAATATTGTCCAACTGTTACAGTGCCATATCTATATTTTATTCAGATATAGTGTTTTGGTATCTGTTTGAGGTATCAGTTAGAGGGAAAGATTTGAAGTAAAATGTTTTTCTAGGAAGATGTGATTCTAAGTTTTGAATTTACACATTTTGAAGTTATGTTATTGGGTACATAGATGTTTAGAATCTTCTTTTCCCTTCCTCAAGACAGGGTTTTTCTGTGTAGCCTCGCTGTCCTGGACTCACTTTGTAGACTAGGCTTGCCTTGAATTCACAGAGATTCACCTGCGTTTCTCTCCCTAAAGCTGGGATCACTGGTGTGTGCTGCCTCACCTGGCTAGTACTTAGACTCTTACTCTGGGTAGTTGAACTTTTGTTTTTGCTCTAATGTCTATATGTAAATATTAAAATGACTTAATTATTTTCTGGAGGTAGGGACATTAATGCCAACTAGCCTCCACTTAACATTTTCTGTAAATTCAGTTTATAATCTACAGAATAGATTCACAGAAATTTAGAAAGGATAAAGAAAACAAACATGTAATTGGAGGGTGTTAGTAAATATTCTGACTTTCAACAATAGTGATAAGGAAAAATAGTGAAAATAGACTATTGAAAACCAGTATCAGCCATTCAGTAAGGTTTATCATCCTATCCATATGATAGAGTTTTGAACAGAATGCCATTAGTAACCTGATTTCTAAAATAATGAATTTTTATAGAATGCTTAATTTTATAGAAATTACATACTAATTTCACAGTTCTCATTTGTAGAAACAGTGATCTAACAACAGGAAATGAATCAACTATCAAAGTCTACTAAGAAGACACATAGGCTAGATACTTTACTAGACCTTGAAGTCATGGCCAGCTGAATTGTTTTGAAGGTTTTATTGCTCTATTTTTCACATTTACATCTTGAAACAAGCTGGAATGATGATGCTTCAGTGAACAGGACAGGAATGACAACTCCCAGGTTTAGTGAGCTGGGCCCTCCATTAGTGCCAAACTAGATGCAGACCCTCCAGGGGAAGGGTAATTGTAGACACAGTTTGTTTACGAACACAGAAGGAAAACTTCTGAATGAAATCAAAGCAGAGGAATTTCAGTGGTCTATTGAAAGAACTATTAAAGTCAAATACAGGTTTGTCTCAAAATTTAAAAAAAGTTTTAAGTTCTATAGGCTGCCTGAGTAGTAGTATGTCCTATCAAGACCATGAAAAAGAAAATAACTTAATCGTCAGTGAACAGTTCTGGCATTACACATTACAGTGCCTATTAGTGATGTTCTTGTCAACACTTAGCAATTTCAAATTTTAAATTACATTTAGTTATTAATGAAGAATTCTATTAATTTGCATTTCCCCCATTTTTTTATAGTGTGAGCAATATTTTTAAAAAATAAATTAGCAATTTTTATTAAGCCACACTGAAAATTTTAATAGTTTTTTTTGTATAATTTGTTTACTTAGAGACAAGATTTTTTTTTTCTTCATATTAGCATCTCTAACATCTTGGAAAATACTTGGTGAACTGGCAGTATTGAAATAAACTAGTTTTTAAACCAGAGCAACTGAAATTTGATTCTGGTGAGCACATGCTTTTTAAAATGATGTTTTAGCAAAGGTTAAAAGAATGAGGGTCTTAAGAGGAAATAAAGGACAGTATCTTTCTACACAGAAGCATATTCCCTAAAAGTTTAAGGCAAGCAAATGCCGTAGAATTCTGTGTGAGAAATAGGAATCTGACAAGTACCAGGTCTTGTGCAGGCATGTAGTATTAACATAAATGGGCTCTGAACGTCACTGTTTCCTCAGGAAGTTCAGTTTGTTGCTCATTTGTTCGGTTTACTCATGACTCCCAAAGTTGCACTCTCACCCCCACACATACATACACAAACATACAACACACATAAATTATATACATATTTCTTGAGGATGTAGTGCTACATGCCTATAACCCCCTTAGGCCGCTGCTTTAAAGGTAGAGGCAGCTGGATTACAAATTTGTCTGGGCTGCACAGTGACTTGCAGGTCAGTATGGGCTACATGCCCGAGACCCTGTCTCAAACAACAACAATAAGAAAACAAGTACACATCAAAAATGCAGTTTATATAAACAGTGCTTTTTTATACGAGTCAATTTGTGCTCCGGTAGTTTGATATTTTAAAGATGCTTTGGTTTAGTCTTAATCATACTTTGAATTTTTACTGCTTAAGAAATACTCATCTGTTGCACACCTAATTTGTACTGCCTTTCATTAAGAAAGTAACTGATATTGCTCTTTCGTTTCAGCTAAACCATTTACTTCTAAAGTGAAACAAATGCGATTACACAGAGAAGACTTTGAAATATTAAAGGTGATTGGTCGAGGAGCTTTTGGGGAGGTAAGAGATCCTTTATGGAATGTTTGCTAATTGCTGTAGAAGGTGTTTTATGAAGTAGTGAGAGATACTTGCTGTTATAGCAATATGGCTGATCAGAAAATAGATTAAACTTGTGCATGAAATTGTTTTCTCTGATGTTTCGCTGTTTAGTATGTACTAAATTTTGTTTGTTGGCTGTTTTCTTCTTGTGCTAAGGCCATACTGTCTCAGGTCCTACTTCATCTCCTGAGAAGCCGTGATGTGTCTGGTGGTGTGTCTCCCTGCTGCTCCTGCTCTTTCCTCTCATTGTGTTTTCATGTTACTTTAGAATCACACTCATTTCTACACACGCGCACACATGTACTCATATGCACACACATGTTCATGCGCGCGCGCACACACACACACACACAGGGAGAGAGAAGGATCTGAAATTTGGGTTGAAATTCCATTGAAACTAGAGATGAGTTTATAACTAAATGAAATTTTAAGCTGAGTCAGCTTATCCATGGACATGATATATTTATTCTTTTATTTAGGGATTTGTAAGTTTGTAGCTTCATTTGGTATAGAGGATTTAACATTTTCCAGCAGGTTTACTAGATATTTTGTATTCTTGAGATTATTTTTAATTAAAATGGCTTAAGTTTCATTTTATAATTTTTGAAAATACAGATAATTGCAATTAATGTTTTCATTAACCTTATGGCTAATAATATTAATTTTAAGGTCATGGTATGTGTTGCGTTTTAATAAAATACTTCCTCTACATCTGTTGAAACACTGGAAAGTTTCCTCCTTTACTTGGTTAATGTGTTGAATTCCACTTGTTAATTTCAAATGTTAAACTAACTTTACATTTATAAAGTGATTCCAGCGTGGTTGTGTCTTATCCTTTTAATGCACCAGTGGATTTGTTTAAAAATGTGCATATTTAATTTTTTCCACCTTTTTTGTTTGTTTGCTTGTTTTGAGTCAGGGTTTCTCTGTAGCCCTGGCTGTCCTGGACTCTGTAGATCAAGTTGTTCTCAAACTCAGAGATCCTCCTGCCTCTGCCTCCTGAGGGGCTGGGATGAAAGGCGTGCACTACCACTACCTGGCCTTTTTTTCCTTTTTTTTTTTTTTTTTTTTTTTTTTTTTTTTTTTTTTACCTATTTTTGATACAGAAATTGGCCTGTAACTTTCTTCTAACACCTTAATCAGATTTGGGAATCTTGGCTCTGTTAGTTCCACAGGAGTGTCCATTTCTTGCTGCTTTCTGCAAGCTTCTGAAGTGATTACCATTTTCCTTATATGCTTCTGGTATTTCACAGGCCAGGCCTTCTGGGCCTGGAGTCTGTTGCTGAGATCGTCAGTATAATAATTTTTACAATGGATTTTAAAACATTATATGTCAGTTTTGTTGTATTTGTTCACCTCATATAACTTTTAGAACTTAGCATTGTATTGATCACTTAATGATTTATATGACCATTGATTGATCTCATTTTTAAACTTGTTTTGCTAGGGAGTTGTCCATTTTCTTTGTTTTTCAGTAAAATAACCTTTAGCCTCTTCAGTTTTGCTGTTGTAGATTTGTGGTATTAACCTGCCACAAATTTATACTTCTGATTTACTGAAGTAGATAATTTAGAATATTGATTTCTAGTTCTTCTTATAAAATGTGCATTGGGCTGTTTTCCTCCAAGCAGTATTATGTGTAGCTGGTGAATTTTGAGATGTCATCCTTCCATTATTTTTGCTTTAATTTCCAGTGTGATTTTGAGGTTGTTTTGTGTCTATGAGTTTAAAGCTTCATCACTGTTTCTAAGTGCCCTAAGGATTTTCTAGTTGTATCTTTGCCATTGAATTATAATGTGATCAGAGCTGAGCTAGCGTATATTGTATGATTAGAATTTATTATTATTATTATTATTATTAAATTAGTTAATATAAATTATAGTTTTTACTTATAAATTAATTATAATTTAGCTACTTCAAATTTCTGTTTTAAGTTTTGTTTTCTCTTGAGCTGCCATTTCTTGAGAAAGGGGTTGGCTTATTTCAGTTTTTTCTTGATTCCTTTTTTTTTTTTTAAATCTTGATCTATTACTTCCTAGAGAATTTTTTTTATTTCTTTCAGTTTTTGCTGATAATAAATACATTTTGTTTTCCTAATGATGAACTCTTGTATCATTTTAGAATGTTCTTGTTATCTCTGTGATGTTCTTCTGACATATGTTAGTCTGATATTAGTAGAATTATTTTTAACTGTTAGCACTTGCACTAAATTTCTATCTGAATTCTTTTAATTTGTTTTTTGTAACCTTATAGTATATTTGCTGCTAAGTAGAATACCAGTTCCTTCTTGGCCCTCTGCTAGCGTGGACTTGTGTGACCTGGTTTTTAGTTTTTAGCTTTATATTAATAGAATTATTTACTATATATCATTGTTTCTAGCTTCTACACTCTACATTACACTTATGTGACACACCCTGGTTTTTATTTTCTCCTGTTCTTTTACTTTTGTTTATTATCCATTTATTTGTGTGTGTCTTTGCGCTCTCTCTCTCTCTCTCTGTGCATGCATGTATGTGTGTGGATGTGCCATGGCATGTGGTGATCAGAGGGCAAGACAACTCGTGGGAGCTCTTTTTCTCTTTCCAACATGTGGGTTCTGGAAATTGAACTCAGGCTTGGCAGCTAGTGCCTTTACCCAGTGAGCCCTCGTACTGGCTCCGCATCCTAGCTTTCCACTAGCTCACACCATTTCTGTATATGAATATACCATATGCTTTTATTCGTAATAGTTTTGTTGACTGCTAAGTTACTTGTGATTTTTTTTTTTTGGCTGTTCAGAATATCGCTGTCAGAAGTCTTATTTACGTTTTTGGTGAGGTATAAGCATTTATGTATGTTTAATATGAACTTAGGGGTGGATTCCTGTGTTCTGGTAGGCATAGTTAGCTTTAGTAGACAATGCCAAATAATTTCCTAAGTACTGAGTCATAGTCATACTCCCTGTAACACCAATCTCATTTTCCTGATCTTAAGCCACTTTTGGTAGGTGTGTAGTGGTTGGTGGTTATGATGACTCCATTTTGCATTTTCTGCTAAGTCTTAAAGTTCAGTAACTTTCGTATCACTTCCTATCATGTGGATATCCTTTGAACAATAAACATTTGGGATTAGGGAGGCAGGAGTTGAATATTATTGGTATACTCTGGATGTAAGTGATTCATGGACATAAGGTTTATGTATACAAAAAGTGCTTTGGCTTTTCCTTTCCTGGTAGGTCTTGTATTGAAACAAAGTTCAGTAATTAAGCTGTAATGATTAATGATTTCTGTGTTCATTTTAAGAAAATTTTTCCTAACCTGAAGATCATGAATGTTTTCCTTTAATCTTAAAAAAAAGACATTTTATTTTATGTGTATGAATGGTTTGTCTGCATGTATATATGGGTACTGTGGTGCCCACTGTGTGCCTGGTACCTGAAAAGGTCAACAGAAGGTGTTGGGCCCCTGGAACTGGAGTTACGGAAGGTTGTGAGCCACCAGTGGGTGATTGGAACTGAACCCAGGAACTCCGCTAGAGCAGCAAGTGTTTTAACTTCTTTTTTAAAAATCTTTTTTATTTATCACAGGTAATTCACTTTGTATCTGAGCTGTAGCCCCTCCCTGATCCTCCATCACTCCACACACTTTCATTTTTTTTTTTTTTTTAATTCTTCCTATAAAATACCAGGTGTGATGGTGCACACTTGTAATCCCAGTACCGGGGAGGCTGAGGCAGGAGTGAAACATCAATCTTGGCTATTTAGTGAGTTTGAGGCTAGCCTGGGTTACAGGAGACTGTGTCTCAAAAACAAAAACAGCCCCCTCTTCCAAAACCAGCAATTCTTTCTGTAGTCTTTCCAGAAAACTTTTTCATTTAGGTCTGTGTCTGTGATCCAATTGGTATTGATTATTTTGTGTTTTCTGAAGTATTGTTGAAACAGATACCTTGCTTTTATTGAAATACTTTTGTTAGTCCTTGAGTACAGAAAAGAAATTGACTTGCGTTGTAAGTGCGGATGGGCTGTGAGCTGCTGTTCTGTCACCTTGCCTTGCCTTGTGTTAGTGCCACAGTGAATTGATTCCCGTGGCTCTGCACTGAAAAGTTTAGAGCATGCAGTGGATGACGTGGGAGCGTAAGGGCTATGTTAGATTCTAGGACTCATCCATTTTGGAACCAGCATGTTCAATTTCCACCATGCCTACCAGTTTGGAGCTGAGTCATCGACTGTATAGATAGACTTTGGGAAAACTGACATTCTAATTCTGTTAAATCCAGGGATTTCTGTTTTGAAAACTCTGTGTGTGTGTTGGTGAAGCACTTGTGTAACAGTGTGTGTGTGAGGTAGGTGTTGACTCTCACCTTCCACCTTGTTGGAGACCAGGTCTCTTTGTTCATGGCTGTGTACTCGAGACAGCTGGCCTGTTAGCTGCTGGGGATTCTGGCTTCACCTCTCAGCACTGGGTTACAGTTACAGTTTTTCTTGGGTCCTAGGGATTTGAACTCGGATTCTCATACTTGCATGGTTAGAACCCACTGAACCATTTCCGCAGCCCTCTCTTTGTTATGCGTAGTTTGTTAAATTTATTCCCAAGTACTGATGCTTTTTGATTTGATGACAAATGACTATAACATTTTTATATTAAGTATTATGTTTCTGATATGTAGGTACAATTGATTTTTATATCTGACCTGTATTTTCCTGATGTCATATTCCATTTCTTTGTTTTGGCACATGCTTAGGTGGCTATTGCAGAGTTGCACAGGTATCATGAGGTGGACATGCTTACTCTCCATTGGAATTTAGGGAAAAGGCATTAAAAATTTAGAATTAAGGATTTTTAAGGATCGAAGGATTCAGTTTTCACTGTTAAATAATATGCTTTGATGGAGATGGCCTGTTTGATTAAAAAGTGTGTCCTAATACTAGTTTCTGAGGTTTTAAAATTTTAATCATTAATGAGTGTATCTACTGGAATAATATA